GGGGGATTGAATTTGGGTTTTCAAAACTAAAAGTAGTATGAAACGTTTGGTTATCCTAGTTCGTTTGAACTCGAACTACTTTAGTTCACCCGCCAAAGTGATTTCGCTTCTCTCAATTGAGGTCTTAATCGACTTATCAAAACTTGATTACAATTCACGAAGACAACTGTCAACATCTTCTTGAGACCAAATGACAACTTGGTTTATCAATGAATTACAACAATGTGAATCAAAAGGTGTAAAAGAATGTTTCTAGAAAACTATATCACAATTGTGATGTTTACACGATATTAAGGCACAATGAAAAAGAGCTTATGAATATTACGTTATATGCGCAAGTGTTTTGATCACTCTTCAAGAACTCCTTTATATAGGCAAAGCTCTAGATCCATTGGAGACATAAGAAACTATCTTTGGAATGTTGATAAAATGTTGTTAATGCACATTCCAAAAATCCAGATCTTGTCTTGTTCCAGCCGTCACTCTTTGATTTGTAATGAATGAATTGTAACGCATTAGAACTTTTGATTCTTTGAAATCTGATCAGAATAAGAATATTAACATTGAGACTTTAGACCATCAGAGCATCTTGAGATTCATATGATCAGAACTTAAATGAGACATATACGTTGAAGGTTTTTGTACTTTATGAATATTCACTTATCAGAGTATAGCTTGAGCTTAAGTGTTGAGTCTTTAGAACTTCAAAATGGATTAGTCTATTGATACTTCCTTTGTTCTTCCATAACTTTACTTATCATAGTATCAGAGTTTAACTTGCTGCTTTGGTGCTTTAGAAGTTATAACATCATAACTTCTTCTATTGAGCGTGTTACATGGATTTGCTTCTAAGTCTGTACGCCTCATCTTATCAGAACTCCAAAACGTAAATACTCTTATTATCATCTATGCTCTTTTTTCAGAAATTCTCTTCATATTTAAATAATTTATTAGAGAGCAAATTTGTTATTTATATAATATATCATGTATTTGTTATCATGAAAACTATTACTAAGATGTAGAACTAAACTATGTTCTAACAATCTCCCTTTTTTGATGATGACAAAAACTTGTATATTTTTATGAACAATTAAGTGCATAAATTATTAGGGTCTCCCCCTGAGTTGAATACTCAGATAAAGAAAATAAATTTGGATAATTCTCTGAAGATGTTTGATCATAGCTTTTGACAAAAGTTCTGATAAGTCCATGTGGAATAAGTTTCTTTCAAGACGCACTATTCATGCTTGCTTTTCTAAAAGAGAAACAAAAGTTATCTTTATAAAAAAATGTTTGAGACTTAGCCCCGAAACAATTATGTTCAAAATATCTTATGTTCTCCCCTTTTTTTTCATTAATCAAAAAGCAATAAAAACACTTAAAGTCAATACAATGATTAAGCATTCAAGACCATAGATTAGTACAAACAGAGATAGATAAATATACATTTAAGAAAATAACATATAAGAAACAAGTAAAATATTCAACTAAGGTTGTGGAGGAGGTGAAAGTCGTGTGAACAATGCTTCCAAGAAGCTCTTGATCTGATTGCTTGATTCTTCTTGCTTGTCTAGCATCCCCTTAATTTCTTTGTTTGTTTCATCCTAATTGTCTAGCCTTTCCTTAACAATTGTATTCTCTTACTTCAATTCATCCAGAGTTTTCAATACAAGAGAAGATGGAGCTATTTAAATAGTAGAAGCCATATTCTCATAAGTTACTACAACAACTTCTTTCTCAAAATATTCTTCAATTGATTTGCCTTTGTTTTAAAAATGACAAGAGGTTTAGGTTGACATTCAGGAGATGGTTCATGAAATTCTGATTCCTGTGGAGCTTCCAAGGAGTGTTTTCCAGAAGACGAAGGGGTTTCCTTACCCAAAAATGTATAACTTGATCCTTGAAGATATTCAGTTGATCGCAAAAGTTCTATTGAGCAATTTCATAACTAAGTTCCTTCATCTTCAGAGATTCAGAATTAATTCATTTTCTAAACTGAGTCCAGAGATAATCAGAAGTAGTTGGGTTAAGATTATCCATGCAAGCTTACTTTAAAGAGTTAACCCATTCCTGTATTTCTGTCTCGAAAACTAGCAGAGATTTACCAACATCTGATTTGAATAGTTTTGGTGTTGGTTTTGGAATGGCTATTTTTGGAGGAGATGTAACAAGATTGTCCCAGGCTTCTAGGTCAATTACGGTTCTAAGAGGATCTTCTGAGTAGTCAATGGCAGTTGGAGAATCGGAAGTGATGATATGAGTGTTAGGTGGTGTTAAATTATAAGGAGAGGGAATATCTGGAAGGAAAAAATCTTATGAAGGTTTGGTGGAGATATTTAGTGGTTGAGAGGTATTAAGAGGGCACGTGATTCTTGGAATGACTGGTGTGGTTTCTGTTATTTGTTCAGAGCTAGTGTTTGGATTTTCTATTTGGGGAGCTTCAAATAATGGATCAAATTAATAAATATCAGATAGAACTTGTGCATGTTCTGGCTGAGTTTGAGCAAATTGGGTAGAAGGGGGATTAATCAGAGAATGATTAGTAGGTACGGTAGTGTTAATTTCTATGTCAAAGCCATCAATAGTTTATGGTGATGGATTTTCAGCAGGTTTTGGAGATAAGGAGGGTTCAGATGTTGATAAGAAAATCAATTCCACAACAGAAACAAAAGAAGAGTTACCTTTCTTTTTAGCAGCTTTAGGAGTTTTCTGAGAAGTTCCTTTTTCCACCAACTTTGCTTTTCCTTGACTTTCTGGTAGCAAATTCTAGTGGTTGTGTCCTTTAAGCAAAGACATTGATATTTGGAATTGTACCATCACTTAAGCTTACAGATATATGAGGACAATTCTGGAGATAGGTTTGCTTGAGTGAAGAGAGGAAAATCCTTCAGAGGGACTCTTTTGGTGGTGATGACTTCCTTTGCAGTAAGTGTGGGATCCTTCTTAATGGTTTCTATAATCTTCATCTTCTTCATGTTCTTGGTAATGAGATGCTTTCTAGCAAAAGGTTCCAGAACACAAACTTGCTGAGCTTCACTCAGATATTCTATCAGTTTATTCTCTGTCAGAATATATGAGATCAGCCTTCCCAGCAGAATCAAATCTATTTTGGTTATTTCTTCATCTCTTGTTTCCTTGACATTGGTCTTCATAAGATTGAATAAAATATGAGGTAGATGGTCTTTGGCCTTAGTTGCGATGAAGTACAGCAGGTATTGTTGATCAATCTTGATATAGTCAGGTGAACTTGTTGGTTTTCTGTGATTGACACATCCCAGAATTATTCTAGACCAAATTTTGAGATAGTCCTTCAGATCTTTAATCTTGTTTGAGGGTTGTCTATAAGAGAAGATTTATTTGGATACAATGGTTAGGTCAGAACCTTTTTCTTCCATTTCACTGCACCTTATGCTGCTTCCATCATGACCAATGAGCTTTCCAGTGAGATATTCGGTGATGACAATCTTCTTTCCATTACATAAGATGCTACTTGATGATATGATGTAGTAGCATGAATCTAGAATTCTTTAACCAATTTGGGAAAAACTGGGTCAATTAACTGATCAAATTATTTTGTCCACCCTTAAAACTCAACACCAAGAGTAAGGTTATACCCATTTTCTTTCATGCTTTCAAAATCAACTATGAGTTCACAAAGAACTTCAAGAGTATCCACCGGAGTAAGGAGAGTTCTTGTAGGTTCAACATACCTTGCTTCATTGGAGTAATACCCCAAATTTGTCCTACCCTCTCACTTTTATCTGCCTTATGAATTTGGCATTTTTCTCATGTACATGACTACCATTAGGTTATCTAACATATTATGTATCATTATTCGGTAATTCAGCATGCGATCAGAGATCTTGAAAAATTAGGGTTTCTGTATGGCTTTGAGGCTCTTATCTTTATTCAAGAGATTTAAGTTGTTTCTTCAGTAGTCATGGTTGGAGATAGGGTTTTGATTTGTGGTTATTGTGGACTTATTTCTTGTCAGGCTACAATGGTATCTTCCTCCAAGTTCATCAAGAGAAACAATTGTTTGTATCGAAGTTACTTCAAGAACTAAGTGCATTAGGATTATGAATGCTAGGGTTTCATCGAGGATTCAGATAAAGATATTTTGAGCTAGAGCTTAGTTTCTTATCAATATCTCGGTGTCATTTATTCACCAAAGTGCATCTCAAAAGGATTAAGGTTCTTATCCATGGAATCTGAATATGTTAATTCATCAATTAAGGTTCATTGGACTCACATGTTATGCTGTCTTGTTCGTTATTCCTCCTATGTCTCAAGTTCCATGTTCATTTTCAAAGTTTCGTATGCAGTTTCGAAGGATTCCTCAAGCCATGGTAACCGTGTTACAGAATAGGATTTGTAGATTCAAGACATCAACACTATTCTTTCAATTGATTGTTGCTTATAATGAAAGTTATTGAGGATTTAATATTCGAAAGTTGTAGTTTCTTTGAGGAGTGAGAATTGATTGGAATTCATTCTTTGGAAGTATTCATTCAAGCTTTTTAATATGTTCAAAGTTAATTAACTGGATCAATGTTCTTAAGATGCAAACGTATTAAGATTGGTCATATGGATTTCTTGAGAGATAAGGAACAAATTATAAGGCAAAGGCATCAAAGTTACAATGGAATTTATTAAATTCATGGCCATGCCTTTAGTTCATTCACATCAAGCCGTATTCTAAATAATCATTTAAGTTCCATTCATGTTATCTAACATCATTCAAGATTTCAATCAAGGTTCACCAAATCTCATTCAAATTCATTCAAAAGGAATACAAGTTATAATCCATTTTGCTTTACACTTTTGAATGGTTACATGAAGGAGAAGGAATTACTAGCCATTACAAAATACCATAACCTCACTATAATTTACATTACATGTTTCCAACATATATACCATTCCACACATGGAACTCTACACAACAATTAGAATATATTCTAATCCCGATCATCCTCCATGTTTCAAGCCCTAACCAAACGTCATGCCATGCCATACGGATCCATCTCCATGTCCATCCTCACCACTAAATGCCATGTTTCATACTGGTCATTACAAAAACCGGACCTCGCATCCTGCACATAACCTGCATCAGTAAACAAAAGAAACAGATGCAAATATCAAAATAGTCCAGAAAACCCTTAAAGCCAATTAATAATTGCAACCCCGTATCGAAGTACCAAACCAGCTATTGCCTGAAGAATATAAAATCAGAAAACAGAAATACATATGAAGTGGAAATAATTTCTTAGCCCCTGTAAAAACAATCCAAACCGATTCAAAACCAGAACTGCACCAAGTTTAAGGAAGGAAATCAAGGGAAATACAAGATAGTTTAAAATATAACAAACTTCTTCTAACCAATTTTCCAACTGTCATACCAGATCCAAAAAATAGTTAACCAATTTCCCAAACAAATCCCTAACTTCCTAACCCTCATAACTTTTGTAACAAAAACTCTCAAAACCGAAATTAATCCAAATAAAACCAGTTAATCAGGCCTGCAAACTGTCAGTTAGCTCTCTAAATTCCTAACTCCTCTAAATTCCAAACAGAAAATAACAGAAAACCGCATAACAGAAAAAACAACCCCTAACTAACTAACCAATCTCTAACTACTTCCAGCAGGGTATAATAGAAGAATTCAACAGAGAAAGAGATGGGGGAGTTGAGAGTCATAACAGAAAAAGAGAATTCACAATTACAAAAAAGGCAGGTAACAAAATTCATTCAGAGAGAAAATTCAGTTACAGAAAACTATAGATTATTATTCACGAAGGAAAACTCACCATCATTCTGAATCTTTCTCCTCCTTGACTCAAGAACCTTTTCTTCATCTTCATCAACCTTCAACAAACTTCTCCTCTAAATTCTCACTACAAATCTTCAACCGTAACTCACACTCCATCAATGTTCCTCATCATCATTCCCCAACAAACTCTCTCAACACTCTCTCTTCCATCTTAATCCTCACAAATTTTCCATCATCTTTATCACTACAACTTCACAACAACTTCAATCTTCGTCTTTGCAATCATGCAACAACAACACTGAATCAGAACCACATACGCTCCCTCTTATTGTAACAACACCGATCTCCAACCTCTCTGTTCGCAGATCCTTATCATACTCAAGGCACATAACAAGAACGCAATTACTCAGCATTAGCATGCGCATACAGAAGTCATCGAGAAATAACACAACATCAACTATTTCAGCGAGAATTATGTGTTCGAGGCATATGCGAGAGTTTAGAAGTAGAAGAAGATGGAGTATAATACTGAAAAGAGAAAAAAACAAGATAAAGTGAGGTTGTTACCTGAGTTTCCCAGTGGTTGGGAATCTCCACCACCGTACCGGGAATCCAGATCTCCTAAACATGTTATTTTCATGCATTTATGAACTTCTATCTATCCACTTCCATACAAATAGAACCCTATCTGATTCAATTTTGCGAATCTGCACTTTATTATTACGATTTGAAACACTAAGGGTTTTCGTTTGATTTTTTGATCCCGCAACATGGTAAATCTTTTGCGAAATCTAAGGCCAGATTCATAACCAGAGCATGAAATCAGACGAGGTTTAAGTTTATGAGATAGTGGTTAGGGAATCATGGTGGTGGTGAAAGTGGTTTTGGCTCGTTCGAAATCGCGAGAGACAAGAAGGAAAGGGTCCATGTTCGAAGGCAGGCAAAAGGTCATACGACCAGAGATACTTAAAACGCAATCTTTTTGGTATTTATTTATATTATTTCATTACATTATTTTATTTTTTAGATAATTGTAATAATAATAAGAAGCTGGATAATTGATTGGTGATGTTGTGGGATTTTCTTCCGTCCCCCCCCCCCCCGCTTAGGCCTGTAGAGTTTTTTTTGAAATTAGTACAAAACTAGTCTGGACCGAAAATGGTGTTCTCTCAAGCCCAAAAACTTTTTTTTGTGCTCTGAAGAGGTTACGACAAAAATAGCATTGGACCCTTGTTGATTGGACCTAGCGCCCTTTTCTACTGTACCCTCATGAATTTCAGTCTTCACCCTCCCTGAGTTCACATTTTCATTAAAATTTGAGCCCTTTTTCTTAGTTTTACATTTTTGTAAAAATAGTAGATTTTAATAAAAATTGAAGGAATTAATTCTCTAATTTTTTTTAGAATTTTCCTTGTATAAAAACTAATAATAAAAAGACTTTTCCTTTTAGTTTCTAAAAAACTAATAATAAAAATACTTTTCCTTTAAGATTCTAAAAAACTAATAAAAAATACTTCTTTTTCTTTTAGTTTTTATCCGCATTTTCGTGCCGCTTTGCCATGTTATATTTTGACGCGTTTGTTCATTGTGCAAGGGTCATTTTGTGCTTTCGATCATGTAACATAACACGTAGTTAGGTGATCGAAGCATACAATTTATTCTCACTTCTGATGCGACACGCATTATTTCTCATCGTCCTGAGAAACTCATATCGTATTATGTGTTGTCCTGATGCATGTGATATTATATGATGCTTTATGCAGGAACTTCTGATTATGCGTTGCATTCGCAACATGCGTTTGCCTTTATCTTAGTTGGATATCATTTCTGACTTTGTTTGTTTCTTTTTGAAGCTTGCTCGACGCGTACTCCCTGCTTCTCCAGTGCTTTCGTCTGCTCTTGACGACTTGCTCGCTTTGGTAGTCGCCGTTACTACCTTCATACTTCTTCGCACTTTACTACATTTATTTAACACTTTTCTAGATATTAAGAGAAGTAGGATTTTATTGCTTTCTAGATACCATGAGAAGTAGGAAATAAAGAGAGTGCGCTCGAAGTTGTTGTTTAAAGACCTGTAGTAGGCATTTCGCACTTTATTTGCAATATGTGTCGTGCTTGTGTTTGTTTCTTTGGTTGTTGATCGATGAGTCACTCAATTTAGAAATTGAGATCATGACTTTGCTCTCAATGCATGCTCCCTATAGGATTATATTGTTTTCCTTTATTTCGTGCTGATCGATGAGTCACTCAATTTAGAAATTGAGTTCACGACTTCACTCTCAGTGCATGCCCCCTATAGGATTTTATCGCTTTCCTTTATTTCTTGTTGATCGATGAGTCACTCAATTTAGAAATTGAGATCACGACTTCTCTCTCATTGCATGTTCCCTATAGGATAGTTTTTTTAGACTTTCTTTGGCATGCTACCCTAGATAGGATCTCTCTAGGTGTTCTCTCTTGAGCTTATTAGCTTGTTTGCTTTATCCTTGTACATATCATGTTCCCTTAGGACGTACTTGCTCCTTTTGGACATAAGTTAGACCTTAGGTTGCAAATTATGCATGCTAACATTAGGTAGACATTTCCCTTTCATCCTTGACGTAGGGCTACCATTGTATGATAACATTAGGTTAGAAATAGGCTAGTATCGCTTAGACTCTATTCTTCCCCTTTTTGCATCCTTGTATCTAAAACTAAAACTTATTTTCTTTAGCAAATCATAAAACATGCTAATAACACTTAAACCCTTTTTCAATGTAACAAAAATACAAACCAATTCAAATCTTTTTGTGAGTCCAAGCACCTCTTCTCTATAACCCTTTTCAAGTAAGGACATGATTAATTTACTACTGTGCCAACGCATAAGTCTCCAAACGTCAAGCTGCGACAGAAGGCGGAATTAACATTGTCCATAAAAAAACACAAACAAACAAAAACATGTGAGCCAAACTACGGTCGCTCTGATTCCTCAAAAAGGATAGGTAGGCATTGGGGTAGGGCCCAAGCGAGTACAATTTTATTTTCCCTACATTCTTTTCTCATTTCTTTTGCATGCATTCTCCCTTTAGTAGTAGTAAACAGTAAACATATATTAAACACACCCATAAGATAGATAACAAGAGTGGATATCATAGAGTACTACGGGCGTGTGGCGTGCTAATATCTTCCCCTCGCGTAACAGACCCCCTTACCCGATCTCTCGGTTGCAAGACGGTGACTTCTCCATTCTCAGGTTTTCTCGATGTTTACCTTTCCCTTCATGTGGGATACAATATGTTTGATGCAGACTTCATTGATTGATGATTTTCAGCCGGTTGTTTCATCTTGCGACTTCACTGGGGAAAGGTCGACCAAATGCTGGTCCATCCCAGTGTCGCTCCTGTCTCTTGTTTCTTTTTATTTGGGTGTTTTATTTTTTATGTTTTTTATTTATTCATCCATTTTGTATATACCTGAGCATATGTATGCATTGCATTTTACTGTTTTCCATATGCTACTGTTGTACTGGATCTGTTTCTTGTTGGGTGGGAGTTACAAGATGTAAAAGGCCCAATACCCAGGCCAAGTGATAACCACAAGAACCCTAGGAATAGAGTGGAACATGACAGATAGGGGATGTAGATTACCCTAGACTGTTGTGTCTTCCATGCTCATATGAGGTTTTAATAAGGTGCTATCATTATCACGTAGGTGTGCGATGATAGTACTCTCAAGCGAACCCGTGATTTTGAGTTACCATTGCCTTACCCTGACCTAGTCTTCACCCGTGAATGGGGAGGGAATTATTATCACAGGTACAAATGATGACTATGTTAGGATGGTGTATATATTTAGACAGTGACTGTTGGTCCTAATGGTTATGTTCTGGATTTCTGTCAGTGACTTATTCAGATAGTGACTATATTCAGATGGTGTGCTATTGGTGACTATGGGGTGCTCAGATTTATTTTGAGTTCCTGACTTGTTTACTTGGAGGTTCATTTGGGCCTTCGATCTTGGTATTCCCAGCATGCTCAGAAAAGCTTCAACGATATCTGGTGTTTCAGAATTCTTGATCCCGTACAATTGATGATAAACAGGGTACCTAGTTCTTGTATGTGTGGAAGCTATGTTGGACCTTTGATCTGATGATATTCATATGGTTCAGAAGCAGTGCAACAATCATATTCAGAAATGATGAAACCTTGATCCCATTTGATCCCATGTCTTTGCATCCATAACATGGTTAACCACATGCTTAATATACGTGTTCTGTTATTTCCTGGGAATCATATTTGTAAGCCTTGTGTTGAACTTTTTTGTCCCTTACTTACGTAAAATCAAAATCAAAGCACATAAGTTCCTTGGAAATGACACAACATGACATGGCATCCATTCATGCCCTCCATGCATATTCATGAATCCATAACATGTACTCGAAGATTGGGGATTCTTATTCAGACCTAGTGCTCTCTTCAGAGGTTCAATTTGATTTCTTGCTTCATACGTTCAGAGATCAGTATGGGATAACTCTGCAGGGATTAACCGATACGAAGATCCTGATGGGATTGATTATGGTATACATACAAGCTTTGGCCTGTGGTCATAAATTCTTTGAGAAGGAAGATAATCAATTAAAGACTCAATGATCCAGGTCATGAAATCTCTAATGACGATGTCAACAATCTTGCACCTACTACCGTAGCAGAGGTTCTCTCTTCTCCTTATCTTTTAGGGATTGCTTTCAACCATGAAGTTCTACACAATCTTGAGTTCTTGGAGTATCTTATCAGCAGATGGTTCACATTTACTGTGGGATCTTATATCAGTGCTTCGTTCTTGTTTACCAACACCAGATGTGGTTACCACGCCAGGGCATCCGACTATTCAATCAGAGGCACTCTCCACATCTTTGTGTTCCTTGATCTGTTCGACAACATCCAGTCTTTGTCCCCTTGGCGAATTCATGAAGAAAAAATCTTTTAAGCAAAGACAATGCATGTTGATGCAAGCCCACTGCATTACATCCAACTATTCCTTTTCCTTGTGGAATTTCAATTGGTAAATCTCTGATCTTTGGGGTCCTCCTCCCATAAACATCTCTTCTGATTGCGATACACATGCTAGATGTGTCCCCTATTCTAGGCACCCGGTTTTAATATAGAAAATTGTAAAGGGGTTGAAGTATAAATCCCAGCACCTGTTTGGCATCTCTTCCAAAAGTCTAATTCCTATTTGGCCAACTGTTGGGCTCTTCCTCTCCAATTGGATGTATCCTCTATTGTGATAGAATATGAAGTGTATTATTTCTTTGCGGCATAATATGCTTGGTGATGCAGTTTATAATGACTCACTTGGTAAAGAATTCATTTGTTCTCCTGAAAGAATCTTCTATGCATATTATCGAGGGGCACCTGGCCATTCGATTGAAGATGGTATGTCCTCTAAAGACAAGGTCCTAGACGGGATCAATTCAGTGACTGTCATGTTCACATCAGATCAGAAGGGGAATTCTCTCACCCATTTAAGCATGAAGACTAAAGAAAGTCATAAAAATGAAGAAGTCCATACAGAGTCAAGTCTCCTCAACTGTGGCAATCATTGGTTTCTTTACTGCATTTTCATTTGCACTCTTGCCTATTTGTTTAAACATTACTTGTA